TCGTTTTCAATAAATCTTGCTTCAGGCATATTTTAAAGCAAATAACAGACTGGAAAATACACGCTTTCGTTCTTATAGTAATCTTGATCCGAAGTAAAAGACAACTCGTTCACTAGTGTCAATTAGAAAAATGTGTAAAAAACCTATGGGAAAAAATCGAATATTCAAAAATCAATATAAAATAAGGGGATGACATCATCATCACGTCATAAATTAGCCAATGATTTTGAATCATGGTCTTTGCCGGCTGTAACTTTGATGACGAATGGAGATTGCCAAGTAACGTAAATTGTGCCTTGAAAACGTGCACAAAGTCAATGAGCTGAAATATACATTTAAAAATCTATAATAAATAACTTGGTGATGTCATCAAGACGTAATTATTTTAGTATTTTCTTTGCCTTAAGGTTTGTGTTTGGTGTAACTTTGATGAGGATCAAAGATAGTCAAGTTACCAAAATGAAGCCTTGAATATGTGTACAAAGTCAATGGGCTAAAATAAATATTGAAAATTCAATAAAAAATCACTTGATGACGTCATCATGACGTCATTGTTCTAGACACATCTTTGAACAAAGGTTGTTCAATGATGTCAGTTTGATTAAGATCAGAAGTTGCAAAAGGACCAAAGTGGATGGTGGAAGAAATGTGCACAAACAAATGGGCTTTAGGTCAGAACAGGAAGAGGAAGGAAAAAAACAAAACAAAAAAGAATACCTTTTTCCCAAAGTTGTGAAAAAGCCAATTACGTTACATGATTGGTTCCTACATACCTACAGTAGCTTGGATCAGTATGAAACAACACAAGAAAAATCAAGCCTCTTGATTGGTTTCCAGATATGCAAATGTTGTGCTAAGTCTGCATTGTTTACTTGGATACAAGATGTACACTTCAACTATCCAATCTGCGTACAAATATACTTTTACTGCAGCCTAACTCGTATATACATGCACTGAACATGCCAAAAGGAGAACACGTCCTGAGGGAAGTGTTGTCCAAGGAAGAGGAACCATCAGGGACAACTACTGTAGGCAGTTATGATGAAAAAATGATAGTTGCGAATGAAAGCGAACTGTAGTTTCAGGTAAGGTGGGTACAAGAAAGAAAGTTGGCTACTGCGGTTACAGCTGTCTCGGTTGGAGTCGCATGACGACCAACACACCATAACGTAGAAAGCTGTTCGTGTAGAATTATACTAGCAGCCTGCTTTATTGGGGCACTAGGGCTGGTGAAGCCAAAATAGAGTGAAGAAACGACCATAACAATGCTACCGAATGACTCAGACAGAACTGCTGGGATGAAGAGTAGGCGCATAGGCAAGTGACCCTTCCCAGCCGAAATGCAAGACGTCTGTGGCCCAGGTTTGTAGGTGAAGGAACCTGGCGCACAACATCAGCAGCTGAACATTCTCCATCATGAACAAAAGGACAATATATAAACTGTCAAATTCCTCGATTAACTTGCCACATGGTGATGCAGAGTCTACTCCGTTGGGTGAATCTTTCTCTGAGAGCATACATCTGCAAAAGAGTTGCAATGTTGGCTGTGGGGATATGGGATGCCTTCAGGTCAATTCCAGAGTCCAATACCCTTGGGGACAATTTGTCTGATCAAACAGGACAGATTTACCCTAATGGTTGTACAGAAGTGATGTTCAGCATTGAAGGCTGCCTGGAGTTCCAGAATGTTGAAGAGACTTCCTAATAACTGAGGCATCCCTGTCCCTGAGACCTGAAAGGTGAGGAAGGGAAGTACCCCATGAACATTGGGACAGATCTGTAGAAAGTCATCACCTATTGTTAATTTTAATATGTATACACTGAGGCAATTGAGCCTTCAGGCAACAAACACAGTGTATTTAATAAACCATAATAACAGTAATACGGACCCATCTTTGAAGAGGGAGGTTGTACGCCAGATGGTTCTGTATCAGCTGCCAGCAGAGGTGTGACTGAACGAGATCCATTATGAAAACTGGGAGGTCGATTGGGTCACATTTAGCCGGAAGAACATTAGTAAGTGAGCTGGAGGGGACTCCTTATGAAGATGGTGAAGAGGTACCAGGTCCACTAGGCTCATCATCAGGACAAAGAGGCATTGTGTTTGTGTGCAAGAGACCCAGGTGGGTTGGAGAGCTGCACCAACACAAATCAAGCCATGAGCTAGGACAGATCTCGATTTTCCCTCCAGATGGCTGGCAACCTCATAAGGCTAGTGTCAACTGCAGCCTTGTCTGGAAAACTGTCTACACTGAGTTAGCCATAGAAAAATCAGAAAGTTAGGATGACTAACTGGTGTAGGTAAGCGGCAACAACTAATGCAATTTGGGTGAAGACCACTTGGGATGTTGATAGACCGGATGGCCAGTCGAATCCTGAAGGTTCTTCCTGAAAACAAGACTGCCAGTGCTCTATGAGTAGACAGAGTGAGGCCGCAGATGAGTGATAATTGCTCAAAGAGAGAGTTGGCATTCTCGTCCACCTCCTTAACCATTTCGTGCCGGGGATACCGGATCCCGATACACATGCTTTATATGCGTGGCCGGGGTCTCCAAACTCAGACAAAGGGAACAGGGCCTTTTAACAAAAGACCGTACTCGGAACAAAAGTCCAGGCTGCTGGGCACTACGGACATTTTTTGACTCTAGAAAGTGGAGATAATCCAGCCTTGCTTTGAAATAGTATACCACGGTTTGGGGCATTTAGAGCGAGCGGATTACCACCCGGGACAAAAGTGCTCCATCACTGCAGCGACGAGCCACACAGCACTGCTGCATGCTAATCTGGCCCATATTGAAAAGAGGTCAGCAACTCCCTGAACCAAGTTCGTGAACAAAAGACAGTTATATAGCACCACACAATCTGGGCTCTTTTTACAAGGGTGCAAGCCTTGCTGAAATACTCATGCGTCAACAGATTTTGTCTGTCAGGCTAGAGTGGACACCAGACAGTCCTTCACGTGTTTGTATAAAAGAGTCCAGTAAATGAAGATAGGAATTTTTTAAGAATTTTGAAAACAGAAAAAAATGGTAATTATCCCAGACCAGCATCATCAACATTGATAACTGCCCCCGGCAGCAAGTGGTTAAGAGCAACTGCAGCATGGTCGAGAGGGCCAGGATTTTTTTTCACACACAGGAGAAATTCTACGATGCTAGAGTGGCTGACCCAAGACTACAATCATATATTTCTGGAGTAGACGACGAGGAGCCTCCGATTGTATATAGCTAACAGCGGAGTCTATTTCTCCTTTCCCGGCAGATCAATCTTGATTATTGGAATAAGAGTGGACTAGGTCCTATTGAGCTTCCTGAGAGGGATCGCATGAGGGTTCGGATATGTCTAGATTGTCCACTGGGTTATTCGAGCCCATGCTGACAGCCAATGCGTGTCTGCACTGGATGGTGAAAGTTCAGGATGGCAAAGATAAGGACTCGGCGGGACTTGAAAGCCAAAACGATAGCTGAGGAAGAGGCGGTGTGGTATTTGGATGAATGCAACTTCCTACTAGATGGCCCAGTGGAAGAAGCATGTTACACTCCTTATGCACGGGAGCATTTGTGAAAAATACGCAGATGAGGCTAAATTGGCACTAGCGGCAGAAGGACCGTTGAGCTGCAGCTCACATGCAGGAGAGGGGTTATGGTGTTTGGATAAACGAAGCTTCCTACTAAATGACCCAGCAGAAGAAGACATGGAATTTTTACGCTTTTAACGCATGGAAGATTATATGGAAAATTTGCCGACAAGGCTGGCTGGGTGGAAGCAGTGGAAGAACGGTAAAGCTAAAGATCACGTTTGGGTGGAGGTTGTGTGGGCTGAGCCACAGTGGTGGGAGGTTCAGGAGCGTTCTTCCAGGATAGCATCAAGGAAAAAACAGGAAGGGTGAAAATGGCCTGGGCGCATTCACTGGGACAGCCCGAGCATCCTGTCATTCATTATCCTGGTAGCAAGCACACACTAGGGGAGCTGAGCATTCTGATCGCATGCATTGCAGCTCAGTTCCCTGTGCGTGTTTGTTGGCCGACATTGGTTCTAACCAGATAACGGGGCGGTCATTAGCACAGTAATCACAAATAATGGCTTTGAACCTTAATACCTCGATCCTACTGTTGACTAACTCCTGTCAGTCTAGGCGGAGGGCTGAGAAACGCTGAATGTGTTAAGCCCTCAACCGTCCCAAGTCACCTGGTTGACCATATATGATATTGCTAGATGATACGACCTATGTATAATCAATCAATGACAGCAACCCACAAGCCTATATACAAAGAAAAAGAAAAATACCACACAAAAACCATAAATAGCATACACATTCACAGACAATATACATGTATATCCAAAACCACAGAAAAGAAACTTGACAAATCAAAAATGCCTAGGGACAATATCGATAGCACTTTCTAGAAAAAGGACAAACAGGGCAGTGGCACTGCTACGCATTGTGGTAATAGAGGGTGCATTACAATTCAATGATTAAGTTTTCAGCGAATAAAATAAGGCACAAATGAACTTGTAAATGAAACAACTGTTTGGGTAGGATGAGCACAGTGGACTCAGGGGTTATTACTCATTATGCCTAAGCAGGTCACATATTTCTGAATGCAGTGTACCTCTCTATTCAGCAATACAAACTAAAATACACCTTAGTAAGTCTGATAACAAAGTTTGATGCCTGGCCACACTTATCAATAGTAAAAAAATTCTGTACTTATGACATTATGGGTGCTAGCAAAACGTACAATGAATGTTACTTTTTTTTCAAACAGCATATGACAGTTGAATTCAAATAATGAACAAACGTGAATGAAGCTGAAATATTTTCAAGTAAAGCAAAATGAACAAAACAAGTGTATGATAACAAGCACACCCTATAAAGCTTGTACATGTACGTGCATAATGCACTTTCATGCAATGACACGCGTAGTTGTGGAGGCAAGGCTAAGAAGAGAGTATGCTTGACAAAATATGAATACATTTATAATAATTTAAATGCTCACATTAATGTCTTCAATGATCGATCATTCTTGCTGAAAAGAAAATACAAATGTTTAAGCGTAGTTATGCATTTCACAAAATGTAAATCATTAAAGTTGTAATTTTAAGTACTTTGAACTATGAAATTTCCTTTGTCATTTTGATTGAATCTCATACAAAGTATATGTTTTGCTAAATTACCCTGATTTTCAGGTCTTAAATTTTAACTGAATATCCCTGTGGAATATTCATATTAAAAGGCTCCAAAATTTTGCTTTGATGGCTGGGGTTAAGGCCTGCTGCAAAAACCAAACAAAATCTTTCGACTTTGACATTTATAAACTACAGCTAGTCACACATCATGGCACATACATATACATGTATGCACCGATGAAACAGAGTGTCTGACGGGCACTTATGTAGGGCACTTGATGAAAGCATCATCAGAGTTCAATTTCAAGATGCTACTAAGTAGTAGTACCCAATTTCATACCAACAGAGGTTCCACGTATTTCACAGAGACCGTAAGCATTGCAAGTAGTCATGTAGGGCACGGCACAAACGTACCTTGGAGGAAAAATTTGCTTAACATAGTGACAAAACAGTGGAAATCTCCATGCGCTTGCAACCATGAGCACAACCACACTAAGCAATGACATGATACAGTGCTTACAGTTAGAAAAATTGTGCTGATGTAGTAAGACCAATTTTTCTGTTCCGTGTTAAGTAGCTCTGTCAAATTGGGCCCTAGTGGTTGTTAAAGTTAATACATATAGTGACCCAAAACATGGTAGTCTAGTTTAGATTGCTGAGCATGTATGCTATGGATACTGGTCACAATACCCTCCCTTCCCAAGGGTAGTTAAGAGACATGGCAGATAGATTAAATGCCACTGCTAACATCGTGTGTCAAGTAGTCAGTGTCCATATAAAGATGCTGCAGGTGTTTGAAGATTCAGCTAAGCATTACTCTGTGCCAAATTACATACATGTACATATACCAGTGAACCCCCACCCCACAAAGAGTAATTAAGAGTGCTCATGCATTCCTGTTTACTACTGCTGTACACTGTCAAAAAGACATAATGATATCAGAACTGACACTCCTCACGTTATGACAGTCCCTCAAAAATTGTCTTCTTCAAAAGTTGGGACCATTATTCTATTTTAAACAAAAATAAAAGGAAACTTAACATGCAATACAGTTCATGCTTGAATATGAAAAACAACAGGGGAATAGAAATGAATTGTATTTGCATACAGTGTACATGTATGTAACAGCAAACTCTTTAAACCAACTGCCATTGAAGGTGAACATTCTCTTGATTGGTAAGGCCTATTAATCCCTAAACACATACATACCTATTAGGTCTATCTTCTGAAATGGACAGTCTTTTCCGATCCTTATCTGGTTTCTTAGTAGAGCTGTGTTTTATAAGTGAAGAACGCTCCACTAATGAACGGCGAGTATCTAGGAAAAAGAGTTTTGGATGTATTTGAGTGCCATACATGTAATTACTATCACTTAAATACCACCCACTTGGTACTGTTTTTCATTGATTCCTTTAAACAGCAGAACATATACTACAAGTTTATGCACATAAGATGGTGTGAAATTCACAGAGATTTACTATGCTCAGCTGCCAAAGTATAATGCAGTGAGATTAAGTCCTTTTTATAAAGGTGTATGGAGGTACATACCCAACCACTGGGACAACAGCAAGGTTACAGCTGCCAAATTTTAAACCTAAAAGAGGGGGAGAGGGGGGCAACATTTTCTCCAATAATGTTGCAGTGCATTTTTCATGTGCCAAGCTTCAAGGAATTTTTCAGCAACATCTTGCAGTCATTTTGATTCCAACTTTTTGAAGATCAGACATGCTGTTATTGCACAATGTACTTTTATTTTGGGACAGAGAACATACTCTGACCACTGATTCAATGCACACAGGCAGACATGTCTGAGGCCATGAACTTCAAATGACCAAAACGTTAAACTCAATGTCAGAATAACTTAAAAACTTAAAATTTGTGCTGATAATAAAAGTCTTTACATATTCATGTTAGGTTTCGAAATGATTGGGCAAGTAACAGCTCAGATCTTATGTGTGTGTGTGTGTGGGGGGGGGGTCAATTCCTCCTCCCCAGCTGAGAAAAAGGTCCAAAAACCCTGGCTCTTTTTAGGGTTAAATAGCCAAAGTTAATTGGATGGCATGGCTAAATACACACTGTTGCAAGTACAGTTTTTACTTTTGAGTAGTGCTAAATGAAAGCTTTTGTTGCCATCTGTTCAGGATAATAGCTAGGTTGTAACTATTCACCATTTAGCAACAATATGGCAACCGATATCTGGAGCCTAAAGAGAAGTTCAGCTCATAAAATCATGCACCATTCACATATAAGTAGATGTACACAGGTAGATGTACTAGTACAATAACTGAAAGTTGGCAAGAGTTGCGCAAGCAGGTGGTTACACGAAGAAATTGGAAAGGGGCTTAGAGTGAGTAGATACTGAATGTTGGAAAATCCGCATCACTTACCTTTCCCAATTTACTGGTTCAGTGAATCATCAGGACAATGGACAAGAAAATTGGGGAGTGTACACTAAAAATGGGACCAACCTGACCATACATGTATATAGTTTCAGCAAATTTGATGAAATTTGTATTGACCAGTAAGATTCATGACGGAAGTCATATCACTTAAAATGGCATTCCAAGAAGCATCCAGCGACTGGTCATCACATAACTAATTATTGTGACCAGACAGAGGTATATGTACATGTATGTGTGCACGTTATATTGAGCAAGTGAACTGGTCAAGATCAGAAAGATGTGCCACATGCTTAAGACTGAAGTACAGACAGTATACAGACAGCACAAATTTACTGATGCAATGAAGCACAGTGTAGGGAGCAAGTCAATAAAACTGACATTGACTTCCAGAAGACCTTTACCTCTAGGAAATGGAGATGCTGCTTTCTTTTTTCTAAGTGGTAACCCCATCGAGTTAGTTTGAGTAACACTGCTGCCTCGATACGGTCCAGGGTCTGAACGCACACTGGGGCTGTACTCATGTAGGTCTGATGTTGGTGAACCTGCATTATCCAAATATGTCTGTTAGTAATGTTAATCACTGAATGTATGCCACAAAGTAAATGCCATGCAAAAAAATGCATGTACCATGTTTTGAAAAACAACACAGATATGTTCTTAAACATAAAGGTGGTTTCACTCCTGAGTTGGCAACTTTGGTGAGCTTGGTAGACTGGGCTCATGGCACTTTTACCAGAGAGAAGCTGCTACTTTTACATGTTTGGAAATTTCTGAGATGTTCATGCAAATATCTTGTGGTCACTGGAATTTCACTGTGACTTTCGGTCAACTTATGGTCAATTTTGTGTTACAAATTTGGCAAAAATTGCAAGACATTCATCCAACCTTCTCATGACAATTGTGCCATGGTTATGAGATGGTTAGGCACCATCAGCAAACTTATGTGAAGGGACTATGACTCTATAGAGACTGTCATGCAAGCAACTATCCCGTAGAGAGAATCACATTGCATAGCCTCCGACCACCTAGTATAAACACCTCCCCCCCCCAGCAAAACCAAGGTCAGCATCAGTAAGTATCCAGCCTCTGGAGAAGCTGGGCATGCAGGACCCCTGGATAGACCTTCAATCAAGACCAGCCATGGCTCAAGGCCTGGGTTTTCTCTGACCACCCCAAAGCCTTCTAGGACCAGCCCGAGGTTCAAGCCACTTTTTTTCAGTTGACGAAAGCTGGCAACATTTTTCAGATGGTTTGATGCCCGTAGCACGACACTTGCGAAGGCTTTGGGACTATTTTGAGACAAGAAAGCCAGAATGGCGACAGTCGGCAGATATTTTGAACACATTCAAAATTCCTGCGCACATCTTTGTGAAATAGTTCTTACCCATTGTGTGCATTGGTGAGTATTGTAAAATTCATATGGCCCACTAATGACTGAACACTGTGTGCCATTTGGGGCTGGGATAGTGGGTAAGAACTGTGTGCCATTTGGGGCTGGAATAGTGGGTAAGAACTGTGTGCCATTTGGAGCTAGGATGGTGGGTAAGAACTGTGTGCCATTTGGAGCT